ATTAAAAAATACAATAAAATACAGTAAAATTATGAAATATTATTGCAATTTAAAACAGCTGTTTTCTATGTGAATATCTGTTAAGCTGTAATGTATTCATGTGATGCGCAGCTGTATTTTCAGCATCATTACTCCTGATGCTGATTTGCTGCTCAAGAAACATTTATCATTATTACTATTATTAATATTTGTATTAAATTATTATCATTATTACTGAAAACTGCTGTGCTGCCGAATATTTTTGTGGAAACCGTTTATTTGAACCTGAGCTCGGGTAACAATCACCTGGTAGTGTGACTCTTTGATTGATGACGTGTGAGGTTTATCAAAGGCTTGTTATTGTATTCAGGCATTTTTGTGGATTTTACTCTAAACATGTTATGTATGTTTGTTGATTCTGCGTGATTATGTCCACGGATGTTTTGGAAGCCACAGTAAGTAAATTAATTTTCGTCTTTATATTGAGGTGACTGTATTGTTGGTCACTGTGTTAATTAACTATCACACTTTGAATGGTTTTTCCTATACTCCATAGGCTTATGAAGATAGCAAATGAGGGGAAAAACTCTAAACTATAATGAAGCTGTTGTCACCTTGAATGATTGGATTTGAGCCAAACATCCAGTTTGAGCAAAACAAAAGTCTTGGAATATTTTTGTGACTCCTGTCCTGTTTTGTTTTCTTGCTTAAATTCTGTAATTAAATTTCATATAATACATTTTTATGTAGCTGTTTTATGGTAGAAAATGTGTTTCTGTATAGTATGTTTGAGACAAAAGTAAAATCTGTAAACTAATGTTCCGATTGTGACAACTTACCCCGTGTAGTGGGACGACAAAGAAGTCAAAAGTGTGCTAGAGAGGTTTTTTTCTCTCTCCCCGACAACAACAGTTGAAATGTTCAATTTCCAAAACTATAAGGTTTGTGTCTTCACTTAGATTAACTGCAAAAGTAAACTGTGAGAAATTAAATTGTGTGACAAGCAAGCCTTCCCAAAATAGCCTTAATTTTTTTTTAAGGGAAGTTTTTTTTTTTTTCTCTATGATCATCAGTAACCCACCCGTCCTGCAGGTAATGCTGGAGGCTTCACATGTGACATTGCTTTTAATGGTTTCCATAACAAATCATTAGTCACGAAATTAGCAAGAATGAAACAAAAGCACTCCTCAGACCTTCTGTGCTGCAGTGTTTGGTAAAACATTGAATTTCACTTCTATAATCTTATATAGTAAAAATCATGATAATAATTAAATCAGACTCATGTTTTGGCCTGGTCAGAGTCCAGATTTGAAGAGAATATTTGGTCTAGCATTAAATTCAAACTAACTCTGGAGATTGCATTTATTTGGCCACATACATCATTGTGGATGTCTTATTTCAGAAAAGCAACCATTATAAAATTGATTGTTGTGTGTAGGCCTAATTACTGTAAATGATTTATTTCTTTGCAATGATGATTATTTTTCTGAAATGCAACCTCTGTAGGGCATAGCCTTCTAAATTGATTGCACTCTTGACGGACTAAATATGATTAAACACTAAAAAGTCAAAAATTGCACAGCGTTAGCAAGCATATGTTTGTAGTTGGTGTTTTGATATGAATTAGAGAAACTGTTGTATAACTCGGTTTGAAACAGTTCTTTTGTCAGGCTTAATCAAGGAGATGAAAGGAGACGCTTTTGGCTTGGAAAGTATTTATCATTCAGTTGGATATAATCCTCCTCTTCATATAAATAAGATTTCATTCAGATTAATGAATGTCACTACAGACGACAATAGTGTCATTATTTACTCCGTTCGAATCAACTCGAGTCAATGTTGATTCAGTTCAGTTCAATAACAGTGTTGATGTTGAATTTATGAATGGATAACAAAACACAGTTCCATTTACACCTTAATTGAATGTCACCGTCTCACATCAAACAACTATAAATGTTTTTTACACCTGGATTTTAATGTGGTCAAGAGTGATCTTGATTGTGATTCGATCATTTAAAGCTTTAATGCCAAGTGTGATCTGTTATGTGATCTGTAATAAGGCAAAGAATGCACTTGAAAGAATTTGAATCTAATGTTTATTCAGAATCATTGTAAGACATTGGATTGTTGTTTTATTTTATATCATAAGTAATAAGACACATGCATTTTTATTTAGTCCTTAACGTTAGCATAACAGTCAAAGTGGCAAAATAATTCTTACTCAGAAGCCTTCAGACCTGTACTGCATGTAATTAATAGCAGAATTTAAAAAGCAGGATTTTCAAATGACTCGTTTACTGCAGTTTCTAACACGTATTTTGTCAAACATTAGTATTTTGTATACATTCTAATCATTATTGCTAATAACAATGAGATAAGAAAAAGATCCTCTAGAAGTTTCAAATAAGTGAAAACATTTCCATTGTTATCAAAAGCAAAAATTCAGATATAATATAATAAAAAAGAAGTGATTACTTGCATTTAATGATTAGTAAAATACTTTTATGTTATAGAGTAGCTTTTATGACCTAACCCTAACAGTCTAGCATTTTCTTCAAAGGTTTTCTTGAACTAAAATATTATTCATAAGACTAAAAAGAATCAAAGAATAAAAAGAATCATTAATTTCTTCACTCATCATTCATTATGCTTGTTCAGAAGTATTTGTCCAAACTCTCAATAGCATCCTGTTTTGTGTGGTTTCTCCATTCACCTGGGATCTCACCCCGATCCTGAAATTTTTTCCTGTAGTACTTTTCCAGTTCTTTCTGAAATCTGCAGACAAACCACTTCCAATACGACAGCTCGGTGAGGTCAGGGGTGATGCTCCATTCAGCATAAACCCCGCCTGCTGATTTGTAATCTTTATATGGAATGGATTTTTCAGATTCATGAGTTGGGTAAAATCTCTTAGTACTTGTCACTAGAGTTGTGCAAAAATCTGGAATAAGAGTTTGTGTTCCTCTATAATGCCATCCATTCAGTCCTTCAGGTCGATGGAAAGGAACACTGTGAGGTTGTGGATCATGGTCTTCTGCTGTGTTAGTGCAGATGGCTCTACAGAACGGACACTGAACCCAACAGCATGTACAGAAGTGTTCATTTAAAATCTCATCGGGCTTGTCCTTATTATCTAGCTTCTGTAGAAAAGATTCTGTACTGAATTCATTGCTTATGTCAGATATTATAGAAGGAAGTTGTTTTCTTATTACCTCTGCTAAGAGTTTTACATCAACATCATCACGACTCACTCCTCTAAGGTCCTTTTCAGAGAAAATCAGCACATCTGATAAATTCAGTGTGAAAATCTCCAACCACAAATCAGCGTCTCTACTGTTTTCATCGACCTCTTCAGATGCTCTCTGCACCGCTTCGTTGATCTGATTCTCTTTCCGTCTTAAATCATCTTTCATCTTGGGCAGAACACTGATGTTGAAGTTCTCATTTATGTACTGACTGACTTCATCTCTGATGAATCTCTTGAAGTGTTCTTTGGGATTATGAATGTAGGTTATGAATGCCTCAAAATCCTCCTTTTCTGCCAGTGTCTTCAGGATGTGTTTCTCCAGATTAGATCTGTTTCCATTCAGTGATTCACAGTTTGATCTCATTTCATCGGCCAAATCCTGGGCAGTTTTTTTGTTGACACTCTGCTGAATGGGTTCTTTGAGTTTGTTACAGATTATCTCACCTATAATGGTAGCTGATGTTGCTCCCTGACAGTATTTCTGGAAAATTCTGTAATATTCGTCTCTTTTTCTTGCAAAATAGAGAACAGGGTCATTGGCTTCGCTGAAAATGTTGTGTTGTTTCACGAACGTCATTTGTTCTTCATTGAATATGGCAAATACCAAATCACTAAAGAAGTGTTTCTTGAACGTATATTTCGTTGTTTCTTTTTCCTCATGTTCTACTAACTTTGCTCTGATGAAACCAGTGAGTTCTTGGATGTAAGTTTTATTGTAGCCCATCTTTGCTATGTTATATGACATGATCATTTTATTTACTTGCTCAACAATGTCTGTAATTAGTTGGTTGATTTGGGCATCATACTCTTTAGGATAGCCAAACAATTTTAATACTTTTTCAACTTTATAAAGCTGTATATACTCTGAATAGCTTGACACTTTTAAAATATTGCACTTTTTGCTTTTTGTCTTGAGGTCTGAAAAACTTTCATTGTCGCTAAGAACCTCATTCATGTCTTTTAAAATGTCAATGTCTTGGACTTGAGGTGTGTGTTTGGTAATCTCACTCACACAACGATTCCAAAATGAATCAAACTCTCTTTGCAAGATTTGATCATCATTTGCTTTGTGTTTGAGAGTTAAGGCAAGATTTTTGGCCTTCTCAAGGAGAGCATTTTCATTTTTTGTCCTCTGAGCGTCAATGTTTTTCTTTAGGTCTCGCTGCTTAAGCACCACATTCAGTTTCTTCTGTGTTTCCCTAACAATGTTTTCCTGTATGTGGGAGACTTTTTTTTCAAAAGATGTTTTCCACTGAATCAGTATACTGGCATTGGTGTCTTTCTCAAAGAATTCTGTCATAGATTTTTTCACTACTGTACTTTTTACATTTAGTTCTCCTTGAAGATCTGTTTCCTCAACCACATTGATTACTTCATTTTCTATTTGGTTCTGTAGTTTGTTTTCAATTTCCAGCATGGCCTTCCTAAGACTCCAGGTCCAATTACTGTATTCTGTTTCCAATCTCCTGTATGTGGCAATCTCCAGGGCATTTTTGAAGCTGAACACAAAGCGCTCCTTCAGCAAAGCCTCCCAGAGATTTTTAATGTGACTTTTTATGTCTGTCAGCATCATGCCATTTGATTTTGAGACATGAGAAAGAATAGTTTTCTTAAGGTCTTGAATGTTTTCACAGTATGAAGGGTTTGGTGGTGCCATGGGTGGGCTGCCCTCCCAGAGCTGAGCAAAATACATCACGTCCTTGTGTACATCAAATGCAATAACATCACTGAAACGTTCTGCTTCACAGACTTCACCTTCAGCAGCGAGTTTTGTCATCTCATCCAGTTTTTCCTGCAGTCGTCTCCTTCCCTCCATGTTTTTCTCTCCAGCTGTGACGTCTGAAACGTTCTGATGCACAAACACACAGCTGGGATTCAGTCTGACCTCCTTCATCCTCAGGAAGGCTTGAACCACAATCTGGAGAATATCCTGCATCTCAGATGGGTTTTCTCCAAAGATGTTAATCAGCGTCATACTTCCAAGCCCAATAACAAATGTAGCCAGTTCATTGTCATGGTGTATTGTTGATCTTCCAGCCAGTTCTGGAGCACGAAGACCCTCAGTATCTACAACCAGAATATAGTCAAAGTTCATCTGTGTTTTCATCTCGTCTGACACTTTGACCAGCTGCATGAAAGCTCCTCTGGTGCACCTGCCAGCGCTGACCACAAACTGGAGTCCAAACATGGCATTGAGCATGGTGGATTTCCCAGAGCTCTGAAGCCCTAAAACTGACAGCACAAAGACTCTCCGGTCTCCCAGTTTCTGGTTGAGTTGATCCAGAACAGCAGAGATCCAGACCAGAGGAACATGAGCAGCATCTCCATCCATCAGCTCCAGTGGAAACCCAGAGATCATCATCTCTGCTGCGAGACTCGGGAGAGAAGATCCGAGAATCTGCAGGTCTTTCTTGTTCTTCTTCACAGATGAACATGATTCATAGATCTGACCGATCTCCCTCATGATGTGCTCCAAGCCAAAGGTTGCATCTTGAAGTGCTTTAGATAATTCCATAAGTTTTCTTTGTTCCACAGTTTTATTACTGCTCTTACTTAGTTTTGAGTCTGACCATGTTTTATTATACTTGTAAAGTAGATCAGAAAGATCAGCTGAGGTATATTCATCCAGGAGAATTCTGAGCCATTTAAGGAAAAACATTGGTTTTTTTTCAGTCAATTTAGTTGCAGAATGGGACTTCATTTGTTTCATGAATAAATTTACAAACATACTGATGTCATATTTATGCTGCTGTTCACGGATTTTCATCATCTCAACTTTTTGTTTACTAATTTCCATTTCTGGGTCGTCCCCTTGAGGTCGATTTAGCTCTTTATTCATCTCACACCACTGATGCCACAGTTTGCCCTGACAGGGCAGAAATGATTCTTTTAATCTTGTCAGATCGTTTCCCTCTAGTAGCCTCATCATTTGTTGTGCTGCCTCCTTTCCTTTCTTGCAGTCATCATCTTCTTCCTCATCTACTCTGATGTCTGAGTGTTTGGACACGTCTTCAAGCCTGAACGTGGAAGCAGATTCTGAGAGACAATTTGCGATAGCTTTTCTGAGATCTTCAGACACCTCTGCGTCACCTCTGTCTTTCAAACCAATTTTATATTTTCCATTCCTCTGCTCAGTGAGAGCTCCTTTATCCTCAGGAAGAAGGCAAATCAGTGGCTTTGGGTCCTTGTAGAGGTTTTGGATTTTTGTCATTCTTTTGTCATTCCTGCTGAGCTGTGGTAAAATGACAACATTGACTGAGGCCATGTTAGTCATTATATCCAGCTGTTTCTCATGGTCTCCTGCATCACCGTGTAGATTACAGAAGGCAACACGGTTGGTGAATTTATCGTCATGTGTCCCAGAAGGGCAGAACCAGGTGATCTCCACCACTCCGTCCATCAGGACTCTGGTTCTGCTGCTGCC